TTAGACGAGAATTACAAACTTATATACAATAAATGGTAAATATTATGTTTACATATTTGGCTAATAAAAACAGTCCAGACGCATCTCCTTTGCTGCTAAGCTTTCTTTTTTGTTTGTTTTGTCATTTAATGGCCAAACAGTCATTTGTCTTATAGTTTTTCCTTTCCAAGCTCCATGACCGTTTGCAAGAACTCCTTATAAGCTCACCACCTTCGTTGTCTCTAATAAATTTGAACGTTTCAGAACGAAAGCTTGTATCTTTTTGCGTTGGTTCTTCGTTCTATTCCTAAGTATTGCAAATGATTTTCCCTTTGTTTAGGATTCGTGCGGTCTGTCTCCTAGAGCGCAGTTACTTCCGGAGGACTCTCATCAATTCATCCACTGCCATATATTTCGCAAACCTCTTTGAATCCGTGTGTGTTTAAGCCTTGGCTTCCAAAGCTTATATCAAGAAGAATAAAAAGTAGCAAGAATATTTTTTTTGATCTGTTATCACTTTAATAACCTATTGCATATCAACTAAGAACAGGGTGGTTGCAGCTACACCGAAGGATAAAACAATAAAAAAAAATTACCTAGAGATGAGTTTCTTAATCTTTAAGATCATACTACTCACAAGAAAACCCGCAAGAGCTTTTATTGTGTTTGCGTTATTCGTATTCCGAAACCATTTCTATTCCAAAACGAAAACCAGGTCTTTATTGAGAATCCAAGTCTCTTTATTTCTTCACAGAGGAAACACCTTTCTCAATACTTCCTGCAAGCTCTTTCTTTGCCTTCTCCAAGCCCATCCTGAAGATTTAGCCAAAAATGGGGAAACCCCAATATGAGCATAAGACAAGGTAGGGGTCGAAGTAAGTTAAATAAAGATTTCAAGTTTTACCTCTCGTATTCGTTCAGTGGTCCAACACCATACACTTCATCGATCCCACATCGTCCCAGACGCACCTTTGATGCAAAGAAGGGAAGCTCAGTCACCTGTTGTGAGGAACAAGATAAAGTTTATACGTTTGTGTAATTAAGGCCTAGGAAAGATTATCAATACATTATACAGATGATTTTCAGAAGGACTGTACATGAGATGCCACAAATGCGCACTCAACGATGTTTGCATCGCCTCGTAGACCCCTGAGGCAAGCATCTGCAAACTTCACTGCTGCATAGGCCTGTATTTTACATTCGGTGTGTTGAGAGATTAAAAGGTAAAATAGATATCCTGGATTTATCTGAAACTGCAGATGTTACAAAAAAGACCCACCATAGATAGTGTTGCAGAACCTGTCCCAGCTTTAGCCTGGAAATTGATTTAAATGGTAAATGCATCGCCAGATCCGAAGTTAAAAGCAACGAAAGCTGAATAAACGGTTTATACCTCAACAACTTCAGTGCCACCGTTTTGGATACGGTCAGTGAGATATTCGATCTCTTTTTGAGTGAATGAGCAGGGAGGCTTCACCTATAGCAGACACAATGATATCCGCATCGAAAAAACAGTAAGATGAATTCCAAATGAGTAATCTTAAACCTGAGAAAGCAGCGGTAAAATTGTAACTCCTGCGTGCCCTCCAACAACCGGAACATCAACTTCTCGGGGATCAAGACTCATTACTTCCGCCTGTTGTAAACCATAAAGGCAAAGAAGAAGAAGATAGCTGAGGCCTAATCGACAATGACAACACGCCATTCTAATCCCATGACATGAACCTGAGTTATCATTTGATTCCTATAAAGCTAGCAAAGACTAGATAACAAACAATGTGAACAAAATTCACACAGAAAGAGTAATATTTACGAGTCCATACCACGAAAGTATTAGCTCTAACAACATCAAGCATCGTGACTCCCATGAGTTTCTTTGGATCAAAAGTGCCAGCTCTCTTAAAAACCTCAGCTGCGATTGGCACTGTAGAGTTGACAGGATTACTGATTACGTTCACAACTGCTTTAGGACAACACTTGGCTATAGCTTCAGAGAGCGTCCTCACGATCCCGGCGTTAATGTTGAACAGATCATCCCTCGTCATCCCTGGTTTCCTCGGAACACCAGCCGGTATAATCACTAAATCCATACCCGTTAGCGCTTCCTCTAATTGCGATTGCCCGAGAAATCCGCGAACCTGAAAACAAAGTTCCAAAAATCTCCGGCTTTAACTTGGGATCACACATCACTCCCAAGTACTAATCTCCGAATCAAAACACTACAATTCTGAGCTAGTATCCATGATCTAGAGCACAAAATGTTGTAAGATCTTCAACTATATGTATACAATTTTGGAATCAAAGATGGTAATATGGAGCTTACGATGGCACTAGTGTCCATGTGACTAATATCAGCGGTAACACCAGGAGCATTAGCAACATCGTAGAGATGGAGAAGAGAAACCAAAGGATTCATCTTCATCAACATCGCAAGAGGCTGACCGATTCCACCGGCTGCTCCAAGTATGGCGACTTTGAATCCGGGAGATCCGCCCTTTGCCCGGCAACCCACCCGTCTCAGACCCGACCCGTCGTCACACATCTAACAAAAATCGAAATCGGATCCTAAGAAAAGCCGAAATTCGATCACCAAATGGGATCAACGAAATTGAATTTACAAAAGCGAAGCGAACCTGATCAAGATGATTAGGAGGGTTGAGATGAGCAGAGATTCTCGCGATGCGTTGGTTCGGATCCATGGCTACGTTGAAGCTTTTTGTTTATATTTTCCCCACTTAAGCGATCTTTATAGATTGAAGATGAAGATGAAGATGACGTCAAATGTGTTGGGAAGCGTGGCGAGAACAGAGCTTTATCTTCTTCCTTCACGTCTTCTCGATCGTGTAAGCAAAAAACAATTTTCCTATTTAAACAACAAAAGTTTATATTTTCCGAATTTGGAAGATACAAAAATAGCAAAGTCTTTGGGTATTCGGGTTGGATGGGTGGATAGTATGGGTATGGTGGGTTAGCTTCATTTCATCTTTAGTTAATAATTTCTATTATTATTTTGTATGTGTTTCCAATGTTTTGGCTTCTTGGTTTTTGAGTTTAGTTTAGTTGATTTCTACCTATTGTAGGCTCAGATGTTATCGGTTTGTAAACGTTATTTCGACATAATACATTTCAATTTTCAGATGGAGAAAGCAAGTATTTGGGTGTGGGTGTTCGAAATTTTTTTACTTCAAAATATTTTTTTTAGAATTCGTGATTGAATCTTCGTCTATAATAGCCAAGTGTGCCCCACACCACTGAAAATACATGGCTTGTTGTTAAATGTATAGAGGAGATGTCTTTCCTAAGGATGTTAATGTTGTGGTTGGAACTTGGAACCTTCAAGACAAAACAAATCATCCAAATAGTGGATTGGTGTCAGATCGGGTTTACATGCGGAATCAGTTATCATCCTCCTACTGTTGTCTCGGTGATGATCTTGCGAAGTCTAGAGAGTTGTGTGTATGATTTCAAACTCGACAAGTGTCGCTGAAGTTTGATATGATATATGCGAAAAGAGCCTTTGTTCATTGGTATGGAGGTGAATGTATGGAGGAAGGTGAGGTCTCTAAGGCGCGAGAAGGACTATGAGGAGGTTGGTAC